GAACTCTGTGTGTTACTTCAATGTCCAAAATACCACTTTTTGAAAGTTTATAAGAGCAAATCCAAACAATACATTTGTTACAGGAAAAGCAAACAAACATTTAAAAAAAAAAAAACAGAATAGAAAAATAAATCTGAAAATTAAAGTAACGTACGTAAAATGATACTGAAATTACTCTAGATCAAGAATCAAAGCACAGACCCACTTTCTTTGAGTACTGTTGTCTTAAGTATCTGGGCAGGTGTTCCTACTAACAACTACCTGAGTACTGGGGATGATTTTCATGGCTTTGGTTGTGAGAATGTCTCCCTTTAATTTGTAATATTCTTCAATGGTAGTTATTAACACAAACTCAGAACCTCCATCATGTTTTTATGTGTATGTATATATTGCATGTGTCAGGTTAAGAATGTTCCCCGTATATAGCTAAGTTATTAGGAGTGAATGAAACAAACAGAACTCCTAAAATATTTAACTTGAAAAGGAGATGTTTTTATTCCAGCTGCACCCTCTGAAATGTAAATTAACCTCTGGTGGTTTTATGGACAGGGACAGAATTCATTAGTTGAATTATTTCTCTGTTTTTAAAATAACTATGACTTTTATAAAAGCATTTAACCTTTTAAAATCTCAGTATGGCCATTAGAAAAATACAGGCAATTGTGATAAAGATCAAATGAGAAAAAAATACAATCAAGTGAAAAGTATTCCTGAAAACATAGTTTATTATTAGTACATGTGATTTATACAATTAATAAACAAACATTATTATGCTATGCCTTTCTTTACTATTAACCAACATTAAATAAATAATGAAATAATGAAGTATTAAATTATAATGAAGTGTTTAGGACTATACCAGTATCTTCTGAATTGCTGCCAACATATTTCAATTTCCTTTGATGTTTCTATTTGTCAATTGGTTTGTCTCACTCTCATCAAAATTACGAGGCCTAGGAGTGCCCGAGCTCAAGCACCATGAACTCATAACTAAGAAGGCAATTAGAAGATGCAGTTAATGTATATGGCTTTTTGATGTGAATCACAAAATCTGCCATTACACCTGGGGAACGAATTATAAAAGGTTGTCCCTTCCATGGGGAAGATTTTATTCTCTCTCTGCAGTGCACTGAA